TAATGAGGTATGGTAACTAGAGCTAGATCAACATTAAATAACATTTACCATATCATGTAGAGTGTAATGAGGTGTGATAACTAGAGCTAGATCAACAATTAAATAAAGTTTACCATATCATGTAGAGTGTAATGAGGTATGGTAGCTAGAGCTTGATCAACAATTAAATAAAGTTTACCATATCATGTAGAGTGTAATAAGGTGTGATAACTAGAGCTGGATCAACAATTAAATAAAGTTTACCATATTATGTAGAGTGTAATAAGGTGTTGTAACTAGAGCTGGATCAACAATTAAATAAAGTTTACCATATCAAGTCAAGTGTAATAAGGTGTGGTAACTAGAGCTTGATCAACAATTAAATAAAGTTTACCATATCATGTAGAGTGTAATAGGGTGTGGTAACTAGAGCTGGATCAATAAACAAAATTCAGAATGTTGAGGAGTTAACTGAGGTATTGCATCTAGAGCTGGATTAACAATTACATAAATTTATCAAATACCTGTTGTAAGTATCACTGGAATTGTAAACACTTGTGTTTAAGGATTCTCATGAGCAAGAATTCAACTTTGTATTTATTTTACATATTGTGTTTGTAGTAAATGAAAAATTGTACAAATTAGACGACTTATTAAAATTACATTACAGAACTTGGTAGTTTTCATCTTTAGATGGAAGTAGACTTATTACAGTTAGTAGCTATAATAAAGATAGTGATTTTTAACAGTTTTCTCCACTCCTTTGACGCAACCAGAAACAAACTTACTTTCCAACTCCTTTGTGGCTGTTCGAGAACGCTGAGGACTAGTACTTCCTTGTTTTCCATATGGCTTCATGGCATGTTTTGGAGACAGTAAAGACTCTGAGCTAGTGGACAGTTTGGATGATGCTGCTGTTAACAAATGAGCTGATTTACTGACAGATGCACTACTAGAACTTGATGAGCTGTAGGACTGGGAGGACAACTTGGTTTTGGAGGAGTGTGACTCGTGAGAGGAAGTCTTAACTGATGAAGAATACTTGTGGGAATAGTCTGATGAACGACTGGTGAAATGAGAGGAAGCAGCTTCATGAGAATAATCGTGTTTGTAGTCTCGCTTATAGGTGTCACTAACAGAAGAAGAAAAGAACGTTTTGGAAGGAGTAGGTAATCTAGGAGTCATTGCCCTAGGAGACACCACCACAGTAGGATGTGCTGCTGCCGGCCCTCGTCGATCTGTGGGAGACGTAACATTATATAGAAAAATTATAAAAAATATATCAGTTCTCATGCAAGTACAGCTGTTACAGAATGTGTCAGTTCTTACCCACACAGAAATGATACACAGTATGCCAGTTTTTATACACATACAAGTTATACAGAGTTCATTAGTTCTTAAAGGCATAAATGATATGCAGTACATCAGTTCTCACACAGGTAAAGCTGTTACTGATTGATGTTATTAACTGTGTTCCAGCATTAAGTTGTCAGATAAAGGATATAAATAGATATATATTTATTCTGATTTTAAAGATAAATATTTTGGTTCTATAAAACTATGCACTATAATTTTCTCACCTTGAACAATAACAAAACATGATGTCTCATCCTCTCCAAGAGAGTTAACGGCACGACAGGTATATTTGCCAGCATTGTCTACTGTACATGAAAGGATTTCCAGAATGGCAACAGAATCGGCATAACTCATGTTATAATCATATCTGTTAAGTTCTTGATCGTTCTTGTACCATTTCACCTAATAAAATTCCAAACAGTGACTTTAAACTAACTTTAATCTACCATACGGGCTTAAACCAATAATAATAGACTTCTTCAAGCATCTATTAAAACTTCCCACTATTATGACAAAAATGCATGTCTCTAACTATATGTTGAGAGAAGAATAAAGTACAATAGCATAACTAATGGTAAACATAGATAAGAAAGGATAGCATTTGCATGATGTTATAAAAGTTCCCAGTTTTTACTGTTGCTTTATAATAATCTATGCATCTTTCAACAGAACTTATGGGATACAAAAATCTAAATAAAATAGTTACTAATAAGTACGATAAGACACACGTATGTCTCGACAGTAATTTCCAACAGGAAACAGGACTTACAGATTGAAATGCTTTAAAACAAGTAAATAAAAAGTTTAATAATACACAGCTAAGTATCAATTCTAACTTCAAGAGAAAACAGACTTGCAGAATGAAATGTTTTAATACAACCATTAATTAACAAGTACAATAATAGATGAGTCTTGACTAACCTTAAAATAATCAGAACTTAGACAATGAAAGGTTATAAACATGCAGTAAATAACAAGTACACAAACAGAGAGCTAAGTATTAACTCTGACTTTAAAATAAACAGAATATAGACAATGAAAGGTTCTAAATGTGCAGTAAGTAACAAGTAAAATAGCACAGAGCTAAGTCTTGACTCTAACTTTAAATAAACAAAACTTAGACAATGAAAGGTTCTAAATGTGCAGTAAGTAACAAGTAAAATAGCACAGAGCTAAGTCTTGACTCTAACTTTAAATAAACAAAACTTAGACAATGAAAGGTTCTAAATGTGCAGTAAGTAACAAGTAAAATAGCACAGAGCTAAGTCTTGACTCTAACTTTAAATAAACAAAACTTAGACAATAGAACCTTTCAAATGTGCAGTAAGTAACAAGTACGATAACACAGAGCTAAGTCTTGACTCTAACTTTAAATACAACATAAACTATAAAAAAGTTATATGTAGCATAAATATAAAATAACAGCACCAAGTCATTCTAACTATGGTAGAAAAAAATTAAACCATTATATACTGTATAATACAAACACTGAATGTACAATACCTCTGGAATGGGTTGGCCTGACACACAACATAAGAGCTTGACACCAATTCCAGACTGAATGAGCCGAGGACGTAACAGGAAAGTAAAGCAAGGTCCACTGTCCGGAACTTCTTCCCACAGTTTAAGTTTAGGTTCTACTCTTCGTCGCCTGCATCATAACAAACAATCTTTATAGTTCTCTTTAAGATAAAGTGTGCAATATTCATAAAATATATTCTCTTCCACTACAGGAGAAGATAGAAAACTGGACACAAAGTATTTAAAGAACATCAGTTTCTGAAGAAAATACTGTGTTCAACTGATAACTGAGACAAAAACCTTTCACAACCTTATTTGTATGTATTTTTAACCTAACCAAACAAAACCTGGGTCAGAAAAGATACAATTCTGCAAATTATATAAATTTTTAATCTTTATTTTATTTTCTCAAAAATTCCTCTCAGATTTTTAAATGTTTTAATTTTTCTAGAACACCAATTTAATGATGCACCGTATAGCTGACAGTTATCAATCGGCTACGATGCTGGTGAACTTACCTAACAGGCTCTTCAAACTTAACCTTTGGAATTTCTTTTGGGATTGCTATAAGAAAGAAGTTAATGAATCAGACAGCTTGAGCTGCACTAGAACTGAATTTACATTTCACAATAGATTTTACATGACAAATTAGAGTAGTTTCTGGAAATAGTAATTGTTCAATGTCATCATCATCAGTACTTTCATTTCTTACATCCATCTTGATGACAGATAACATAACCTCCATGACCCCCACACACTTTTCTATCTGGCATCAATCATATGAGGAATAGCTGTCTGATTATGGCAATAGACTCACTTTTTTAAAAAGCTCCATAACCAGAAAGGGGTGAGGGCCAGGGGAGCATAGTGGCCATGTTAGTAACGTCAGAAACAAAATGGATGTGTTAAGACTCTCTTCAAAAACCCCATAACCAGCTGTCGGAAAAGGGGTGGGTCAAGGGAGCATGCTGGGTTAATGAGACATATTATAATGAGATCATGGTTCTTAAAGAAAAGACAGGTCAATCAGACATTTTATCATGAGATAGGCTAATGAGACATTATGAGATCACGGTTCTTACAAAAAAGATAGGCTAATGAGACATCTTATCATGAGATCATAGTTCTTACAAAAAAGATTAGTGATAAAATAACTATAGAAGACTAATTACACTGGTTGTAGTCAAACAGTGATGGATAGAAGTGATTCTGAATGGTTCTTTATACCAAGTAGACAGCCAATCTGGGTGGGTGGGTGCCATTTTACATGTACTACAAATCACTAATGAGGATATGATTGCAAAAGTTGAAATGGGGGAAAAGTTGAGAATGAATATTATTGTCTAATCAAGTTTGATGTTTTGCCAAGAGTGCCAGCAGAAAATAAATAACCCTATTGATGGGGAGAAACTAAAGGTGTCCCCCAGCAGAGGTTTAGAATTACCCCCACCATAAAAAGAGGAAATAATAGGCCAGTTTAGTCCTTCATATGTAGTGAGAATAATTCTGAACAGCCTGATGAAAGAAGCCTAATAAAATATATCATAAAGGACAGCCAACATGCATTCACTAAAGGGATATCTTACCTTACTTATCTGTTAATGTATATCAAGGATGTTACATGTTATGTGGATGATGGAAAATGTGTGAATTTGATGTTACCTGTTAATGTATATAAAGGATGTTACATGGTATCTGGATGATGGAAAGGGTGTGAACTTGGTGTACTTAGATATGCAAATAGCTTTTGACAATTTATAACAAAGAAGGTTAGCTAACAACATCACATTGGTAGGAGTTGGGATAAACTAGTTAACTGGATTTTAAGGTAGTTGGATGATAAAAAACAACAAAAGAATGTATTAAAGTAGTCAACTCAAGCTGGACCCTTGTTACTAGTGGAGTGGTTCAGGGGTCAGTTTTTGGGCCTTTGCTTTTTCTAATTCATATTAATGATAATGATAGGGCATATTTAGTAAGTGAGTAACATTTGCTGATGAAATTAAACTTTTAAGTATTTCTAGCTGTATTGAGGGTGTTGAGATACTGCAGAATGATTAGATCAATTTGTAAGTTGGTCAAATATTTGGCAAATGACCTTTCATTGTAATTAATATAAGTGCTGTGTTGTTAGTAGCATTTTATGGTGTATTACAAGTTATAAGAGCTGGTTGTCTCTCTACACAAGTCAGTAGTTAGGCCTCAGAGTACTGTTTGCAATTTTGGTCTCCTAATGTAAGAATGGATCCTGACTTATTGGAAAGGATTCAGGAGAATGACACTGGGATGGAAGGGTCATCTTAAATGAATAGGTTAAGATTTCTTATTTAATTTTCTCTTTGAAAAATAAGGGTAAGAGATTATGTTATTGAAGTTTACAATATTATTTGGGAGACCTATATGATAAAGGCCTCTGATTTCTTTGTGTTGTATATCGAAAACAATAGCATGGAAGAATACAGGTTTATGAAGTTTTACTACTCTACCAACACAATCCTTGTTCTAAACTTAACTTAATGTTATACTTTCCACTACTAAGGGCAGAATAACTACTGTCTGTTATCTATATAACTTAATGTTATTATAATGTTAACTTATAACTTAATGTTATACTTTCCACTACTAAGGGCAGAATAACTACTGTCTGTTACCTCCTGTGCTTATATACCAGCTTATTTGCATGTACAACCATATGTGGTACTAGTTAATACCATTACCAAAAACCAGTGGAATGCACTTTTTATGATGTCTCTTGGTAAGATAACACTAACTTACAGTGAAAGAAGAAATTTTGACCAACATGTAATTACAGCATAGTTAAAAAATCCTTGTTCTAAACTTAACTTAATGTTATACTTTCCACTACTAAGGGCAGAATAACTACTGTCTGTTACATCATGTGCTTATATACCAGCTTATTTGCATGTACAACCATATGTGGTACTAGTTAATACCATTACCAAAAACCAGTGGAATGCACTTTTTATGATGTCTTATGTATGTACATTGGTAAGATAACACTAACTTACAGTGAAAGAAGAAATTTTGACCAACATGTAATTACAGCATAGTTAAAAAATACCTGATAAAAAACTGTAACAAAATAGTAAAAAAAATATTCTCTTAAAGCTATGTTTAAAAAACATATTTCTTCAGAGTGAGTCTACTTGTTCAAGTTTCAACATTAACATGTTCTTGGTGATAATAAGAACATGGAAACACACATGTGATTCACATACAGAAGTCACAAACAATGAGTAACAGCAACCAGATGTGACTTTTTTAATGGTACAAAACAATATCACAGAAAATGAATAAATTATAAAAATTACTATTAGTTTGTACATGTGCCCTTTGATTTACACAAAGCATTACATCTTGTTTCACGCTGCCATACTGTTAATCAATGTATGATTGTTGATACTGTTCTAAATGTCCTATGATACTCTCCACAATTCAGTTAAATTGTTTGGTTACCTTTAGACCTTGATGGTTTTTACATATGCCCATACAGCCTCAAAAAGTTTCATATGGGGACTTTGTGCAGGCCATGTTATGGGTGTGAATGTTTCTTCAGCCTCTTAGAATTCAGATGTTATTTCATCTGTTGTATGTTTGGATTACTGTCTTGATGGAAGTTGAATCCCTGCATGATAGGTCACGTTCCTGAGGGAGTTGCTTAAAGTATTACAATCTGCCTGGACTTGTCAGCAGCCAGGGTGTCTTCCATTTGGTGTAGATCACAGACATTGTTGACTGAAACTAAGCCCTAAACTTATTTTGATTCCCTGTTGTATTGCACCTGTAGATGTCGTACACTGACTATGAAACCATTCCCCTTTCTGGTGTTGAAGAAACTGTTGACTGTTGCCAAACAATTCAAACTTGGTTTCATCTAAAAAAGAGCACATATCTCCAGCTCTACTCATTCCACTGTTTATGATCTGTGGTTCAGTTACTTAATCTCAGCAACTGTTTATATGCAGTTAATATGTATCTTTACATTCTTGAGATAGCATTAAAATCTGCACTTGCAGCAAAACCATTAGCAAGACCTGTACTTGACTATTGTCTACTTCGTAAAGAATATACCCTCAAACACTTAGTATCACTTGGAAGAGTTTCCATTTTCAATCTTGATTACTTCTACTGCTCATAGTGCCAGATCCACATATCCTCTTCATAAGTACATACACAAGGTTCCCATAACATGTATCGGATAATTTTCCTGAGTTTTCCATGAACAAACAGAAAACCTTATGGCACATAATTACTTTTAGAATTAACTCAGTGTAAGAATACTGTATATTTTATACATTTATTACAATATAATGCTTTATATGCTTTAAAATAATTATAAGTTTGTTTCTTATTTAAACGGCCTCCTCAACACTCCTTCTAGCCATCCATTCCAACCCACTTGTATTACAGCACCTACAGAAGTCTTGCCAAAGTGTTTTGCACAGTGTCCTCAAACAGCCAAATCTAAGATTTCAGTCCTTGAAGCAATGACTAGATTCACACTGATATTACTACTACTGAAGTATTATTTTATGTACTTTTATTGTCTTTATACTGGTGTGACACTTTCTGATTGGTTGGATGACAACAAATCATAGTTTAAAATATCAACATGCAACTGTACCCTAATGCAGTTGATTTTCACATGATAAAGGTGGCATACATATTCTTCAGGCTTTTTATACCCTTTACCTTCACCATTTCCATAATTATTTCCAGTAATGCAGTTATATTTATGAAATGATTCAGTAAAAGCCTATCTAAGTGTTACACGATGAAAGTTAATAGTATTACATAAGTTACATATTACTGGTAGATATAACATGAAAGCAAGTTATTATCCTGGTTACGACAAAATTCCTCCAAGTTATCTTTAAAAACAATCCCTTATTTGACAGGTTTCAATGGCCTATACTTAACTTGATTAAGAACAAAGTTCATTCTGCTTCTACAGATTTACATCAACTTTACTCTTATGTTTAAAACCATGTGACTGATGACCTTTGAAGCATTTCATGTGAAGTCTTGTTGTGATTATTACAGAAGATGTCATGTGAGCATAAGACTACAAATAATCAGTCAAAAACAGATCAATATAACTATAGTACTTACCCTGTACATTGAGAAATACAGGTTCCTCTCTAAAACCATAGTGATTCTCAGCTCTAATAATGTATTCTCCTTTATCATCCACCTTACATCTATTGATGATGAAGTAATAGTCATTTTCTTCATATCTCTTCATGAATTTTACACTCTGCTTCAGTTCACCACTATCACGGTACCTGTAAGATATACTCTAATAACAACATACTGTTTCTCATATTTACTTATACTGTTGTAGTCCAGACCAGCTGCCACCAAGGCACTTCTTATCTAGGACTATATCACAACCTGTAGTAACACGTATTGTTTCTCATATGTACTTTACTTCTACATGTGTAGTACAGATTGGGTACCAGAAACATGTTTCTTTAAGAATCTTGACCTGCCCTGGAACTGTTCTGTGATTCTAGTTATGAATTATTGGTTAGGTAAGGAATAATTGACTATTTAACTTTAAGTAAACAAAGTAAATATAGAGAGACCAATGAACGAAACAATAATCTTTCCATATATTTTACTTAAAAACTGTTATAATTTAGATATAATCCAGATCCATTTTTGAAGATCCTATAGTCCAAGCACTTTCTTTCCTAAAACTATACTACTATCACATCTTACAGGTATATTGTGATAAGATTTACTCTTTTTTTAATTCCAAATTCCAGTGTTAGTTTTACTATTCAGAATGATTACTTACCATGTGACAGTTGCTGGTGCTGCAGCAATTACCCGGCAGTAGAACTTGGCAGACTGACCCTCAAAAGCAAAAGTGCTCTGAGGTTTAATCACAAATCTAGGAGCCGCTTGTCGCCAATCTGAAACGTGTTACCAAACAGTGATTTACACAGCTTTTATCAAGAGAAATGTTGTACACATTATAATGTGTTCAGTAATATTAAAAACAACCAGAGAGTTTCAAGTTTACTTTACCACATGAAACATAAGCACATAAATCATCACATTATCAAACAGGGTTAGCTGCCACAGAGCAATATGCTCATTCCTTTTTATTCCTAACTAATGTATGAAATAATGAACATAAGTATGAAATACAGACAAAGGACCAATGTGTTTCAAATCAAGTGTTATCCTCACAGAAGGCTCACCTTCAATGTAGATACATTAATAAACCACGGATCTGAATCTTATGAAAAATTAATTTTAAAGTTTCGTAGAAATCTCATGCAGCAAGTTTTCACAATTAATGATGGGTAACTGCACTTCTTAATGGATAACAATAGACATAGCTTAAAATTGGGTTTATACTTACTATTATTTCAAATATACATGTAATGTACATAAACAACGGAGCATTGTAGCAAATGTGTACCTAATGGTAGGATGTACCAATGAAGTGTGTGTGTACCTAAGATTAGAACTTACCAATGTAGTGTCTTTGTACCTAAGGGTAGAACTTACCAATGCAGCTACTTTGTACCTAAGGGTAGAACTTACCAATAAGGCAATGTGTACCTAATGTTAGATCTTACCAATGTATTAACTGTGTACCTAACGTTAGATCTTACCAATGTATCAACTATGTACCTAAGGTTACATCTTACCAATGAAGTGAGTGTGTACCTAAGATTATAACTTACCAATGAAGTGTCTTTGTACCTAAGGGTAGAACTTACCAATGTGGCAATGTGTACCTAATGTTAGATCTTACCAATGTATCAACTGTGTACCTAACGTTAGATCTTACCAATGTATCAACTGTGTACCTAACGTTAGATCTTACCAGTGTATCAACTATGTACCTAAGGTTACATCTTACCAATGTAATGACTTTGTACCTAAGATTAGAACTTACCTATGTAGCACTGTGTATTGAGAGATAGAACTTATCAAGTAGCACTGAGTACTTAATGGTAGAATTTACCTATGTAGCACTGTGTAGTGAAGGGTAGAACTTACCAGTGTAGCATTGTGTACTTAAGGATAGAACTTATCAATGTATCAACTGTGTACTTTAGGGTAGGACTTAACATTGAAGAGGATGTTCAATTAAAGAGAAAATTAATGTTAAATATTGACAGTGATATAAAGTAATGTTTATTTGCAAAGCAATTGATATATATACATTATATTTGAAGAAAAGGCATACCAAAGAAAAAGTCCTCGACTCTGTACTTCTCTTTCTGGAGTTTTCTAAGTGAGCTGTAATTAGCAATACGACCAAAAGGCAGTAGACACGAGTCCCAGAAATCACCCTGAAGGAACAAATACAGCTTAATAAAACTTAGAGACATGTATAGCATATATATATATATAAGTATTTAGTACAATAACTGATATATTATTTGCATATCACTTTACAAAGACCTATATTTCTTACAATAATCAGATGATTTCAAATGCCAACCTATGTAAACTGAATATTAACTTAGCCAGAAAAGGATTCAAATCCAAACTTTTGTTAAACCAATACTTAGATTCCTCTCTGGCTCAATTCATACTTATTTTGGATTTCAATTTATATACACTCCCATCAAACACTGACAACCACTTACAACTTAACCAACCTGATGATAAGTACTTACATCCCATCCCTATCAACCTGGTGATAAGCACTCACATTCCAATCAACCTTCTCATAAGCCCTCATGTCTCAACTAACTTGCTGATAGACACTCAATCCCAATCCTCAGATGACCCACTGATAAGCAGCCGTGTCCAAACCAACCTTCTGATAAATACTGACATCTCAACTAACTCACTGGTAAGCTTTCATGTCAAAACTAACCAGCAGATAAACACTCTCATCTGACCCATTGATAAGCATTTGTGTCCCAATCAACCTGCTGATTAGCACTCACATCCCTACCAACCTGCAGATAAGCACTAATGTCCCAATTAACCTGCTGAGGAGTACTCATATCTCAACCAATGCACTCATAATAACTTACATTTCAACCAAACCATTGATAAGAGTTCACACTTCAACCAAATCACTGATAAAATTTGACACTTCAAACAAACCACTGATAAAGAGTTCACACTTCAACCAAACCATTGATAAAATTTGACACTTCAAACAAACCCCTGATAGATTTGACACTTTCAAACAAACCACTGATAAAGAGTTCACACTTCAACCAAACCACTGATAAAATTTGACACTTCAAATGAACCACTGATAAAGAGTTCACACTTCAACCAAACCCCTGATAAGAGTTCACACTTCAACCAAACCCCTGATAAGAGTTCACACTTCAACCAAACCTCTGATAAGAGTTCACACTTCAACCAAACCACTGATAAGAGTTCACACTTCACTCAAACCACTGATAAAGGGTTCACATTTCAACCAAACCACTGATAAAGGGTTCACATTTCAACTAAACCACTGATAAGACCTCAATCTTCCATCAAACCACTAATCACTGATAAGTACTTACATATTTCTCTCGGATTTGATCTCTGAGAGCCATGTATCTCATGGAAGGAATTGTTATTGTTGGAGCTTCTGTGATATCACCCTGAAAACGAAACAAAGGTTTACTGTTACCAGACTTTATTAATAAAACATTCATAAAAACACAATCTTTCTTGTCATATGTGCCATATCTTAGATAATCTAAAATGTGTTCACAAATATGGAAAATACAATACTTTAGTTTTAGAATATATTTAGCTACTGATAAAACCTTTAAGATGAAAAACATCTACTCCACAAAAATATGTGATTATTTCACATAAAAAGAATCCTCCTAAAATCTACAAGGAAACAGCAAAAGTGCTCCAAATGTAATGAACAAATATATTCATTTCCAGTATAAAGTATTCCCAGAAAGTTTCTCACCTTTAACCAAGGATGATCTAGACAGTCATGGCTCGTCATTCGTTTCCTGTAGATAGAATTTGCATCAGAACATTAACTAAAGCATAGGGAAACACAAAGCCTTTATCAACTAGACAGTGATTTTGAAAGTAGTAATTTTAATAGACACTTATATTTGCTCAAAAAATTTAATTATTATGAAAATATTAAAAGAACTGTGACATCTAAAGTCTATAAAGGTATATACTTTAAAATTAAAATACAAAATAAGTTTACATTTACGTATAATATCAAAAAAAAATATTTTAGTTCTTGCTTTTTATTTAAAATGTTATAAGTAACAAAAATAAGATTGTTGGAAGCTTTATTTTCAATGTTTTAATTTAGATGTTTTCTAGAGGACACATGATGTTATGATCTAGAAAATTTGTGTAGTAAGTAAAAAGTGAAAACAGTATAAATGTGAGAATCAAATAAGAGAAGTAATGGGCAGTTAATGAGTATTCAGCAAGAGTTCAGTTCAGTATTAGAAAGTTATTTAGTGTTATAATATCTATTCTGCTTTAAAGTTACTCAGTGGATTAGCTGTGTGAAGAAATATACAAATCTCTCTGTTCAAACATTATATGTGAAGTTAGTCCTACATTAGTTGCAGAGTTTATGCTGAAAAACATTGAAACCTTCTCAAGATAATACAAAATAAGTTTAGAAGAAAGATTTATATGACTTAGCACAGGTATTTATGTATAACTTAAACAACTGGCTGTACAAAACATAACTGAAGTGTTAGAAGTATATATATTTGTTACACACAATAACGCAACACTTGGAGGGAGGCATTATTGCTAAAAACAGTCTTTTTATGTCACTGTCACATCCATATTCTTGTAAATATTTGTGTATAACTATTATTTCTTACTCTTTTTTTCTATTCAACAGCCTTCGAATAAAATCCTTTGCTTCTACTGAGACATTCTCAAAAGCCTCATCGTCAAAATCCCAATCACATGCTCTTACATTTTTCAATGTATCAATATCTGTGTCCCCAGCAAAGGGGGACAAGCCACTCAACCTGCAAGTAAACAACAATGAGTTAGTATTTCTGATAATAATGAACTGAAGACAAAGCCTTATATTTTTAGATATTGAAGTAGCTGAAATTTTATGTGTGTAATGAAATATACAAGTACTGGTTAATGACTTCTAATATAACTTTATTTTCAGATGCTTCTAATCAGTCAAACGTTGTAAAATTAAATTATTTTCATTACACCAAAAAAGATTTTTTTACTCTACAACATTTGAAGTCTTAAAATAAGTACTCATATTTAACATAATATTTTGGGACAACATGGCACCTATTGGTCCATCTCGGCTGTTCCATCCTGTAAACTAAATTAAAATAATTAAAAAATATATAAAATAAAAACAATTTAAACTCAGCCCTTTTCATTCATATACTTATCAAGCTGTTCCATCCTCTAAACTAAATTAAAATGATTAAAAAGTATATAAAATAAAAACAATTTAAACTCAGCCCTTTTCATTCATATACTTATCAAGCTGTTCCATCCTCTAAACTAAATTAAAATGATTAAAAAATATATAAAATAAAAACAATTTAAACTCAGCCCTTTTCATTCATATACTTATCAAGCTTTTCCTTAAACTTACTTAAATTTACTGCCTCTACAACATCTGAAGGTAACCCATTCCAAAGGCCAACCACTCTGTTAGAAAAATAAAGCTGTCTTAGCTGAAGATGACTCCTACCTTGCCAAAATTTATATTTGTGTCCCACAGTCCTACTATTCTCATTGTTAAATATAAAACAGGATGATACGTCAACACTATCAATTCCATTTACAATCTTAAACATCTCAACCAGATCTCCCCCCTCACTCTTTTTTTTTTTTTCAAGAGAAAACAATTTGAGGGATTTCAGCCTCTCGTCATATGACAACCCCTCCGTCCCAGGCACAATTCTAGTAACCCTTCTCTGAACCATTTCCAACAATTCAATGTCCTTCATAAGGTAAGGACCCCAAGACAGAACACAATAATCCAAATGTGGCCTAACCAGTGACACGTACAATGAAAGTATAATCTCTTTAGACTTGTGTTCAATATTTCTATAGATATAACCTAAAATCCTACTTGCCCTACCACTAGCAACAGCACGCTGCTTGGATGGCTTTAGAGACTGATCGACCATTACACCAAGATCCCTTTCCTTCATAACACTATTAAGGTTAATCCCATCCAAAATAATACCTCGAATTCAAATTATGATAACCCACATATATTATCTTGCATTTATTATAATTAAAACTCATCTGCCATTTATTTCCCCAACTCACTCAATCCTTTTGTA